AATTTATTATTTTTATATATTGAAGTATATAATTCATCAAATCAACGAACAACTCAATAAAGCTTAAATATATTTTTTATTCATTTATATATGTTTAAAAATAATTATAAATCAATATAAATTGATTCAGGTGAACAAACATACATTTTTAACACACATAAACAAATTTTATTTTTTTTTTAAAGGCAAGCGACCACTTGCATAAAAGTTTATCGAGTCGAAGGGAGCCTTCTTAATGAGATAAACTTTTGGTTCTTACTGAGTTACTTTTGTAAAAATCTGAGTCGACATAGTTTTTTATTTAATATTTTAATTTTCTTTAAATATAAAAAACATCTACAATTATTTAATATGAAAGTAATTTATAAATACTTCCAGATTCTGTATTTTAATTTTTATTAAAAAATGTCTAATTGGTCAGAGAAGTTTAAAGATTTCGAAATCCTAACAGATTGGGAGAAATATAAGAATCTTGAAAAACCAAAACTTAAACTAAATGAGTATTGCCTCGTGAAAATCGATTTCGCAATCTATTTAGAAGTAAAAACTCAGAAACCAGAAATCACTTTTCTGCTCGACAAAGAGAATTTTCATCTACTTCAAAATTATATGTGGTATAATCATAAAATTGGAAACACATATTATATTGAAACAAATGATAAAGATAATAATTATAAAAAGTTAAAACTTCATTGTTTGATTTATTCTGAATTCAAAATGATCGATCATATTAATTGCTTTGGATTAGATAATCAAGAAATTAACTTACGAGAAACGACACCAAAGGAAAATACATTGAATCGTAAATTACAACAGAATAATATATCAGGATATAACGGAGTTTGTTTTGACAAATTTCGAAATTGTTGGATTTTCAGTTATTATGAAAATAACAAACATAAAAGCAAATATTTTAAAACAAAACAGCAAGCTATAAATTTTAAAGTAGAACATGATAAAAAAACAGGAAATCAAAATGGATATCCAATAACTTTTTAATTATATTTATATTTTATTGTTTTTCGATTATATTATCAGTTTTAAACCGACTCGAATTACTGTTATCTTTGTAATCAATAAATTTATTTTAAGAGTATAAAAATAAATTGAGGTCATGAAAATGAGTTTTAACAAAAAATGGAACCTTGAGTAACGGGCGGGGAGATAGTTTTAGCTGAGAATGCTAGAATGCAAATAAGAATTTATGAATTAGAACAAAGAATACATGCTTTAAATGCTGATAAAGATGAATTGAGAAGTAGAAATGAGGAACTTGTAACTGAGAGAAATCAATTTGAAGCAGATAATATTCAGATTCATGCAGCAAATGAAAATTTGATGTGATTAAATGACGCATTAAAAATTGTTTTGAGGGATACTGAAGATGAAAGAGACTATTATCATGCAGCAAATATCAAAGAGTTTGATAATTTTATTTCAAACTATATTTTTAGTTTATTTAATAATATTGGTACATTGTTGCGATTCGATAATCAATACATGAGAAATATTGTGAATTTGTTGAAATTTTATAATTTCTTCAATATACCTATTGTATTCCATTATGTTAAGATAATTTACAGAAAGTTTTTGTGGCCAATTTTCTATTTGCCATATATTAATATAACAGAAATGAAACGAATACGTATTGTTGAAATACTTTTAATGAATATTATCACGGTTTATTTCTGTTTATATTTACTTTTTTTTGTGTTTGCAAAGTTTGACAGAGAGTGTATTATGTTTGTAATATAAATAACAATTATAATTTATTGAATGTATTAAAATTTAAAAGTTAAGCCCCATGGCGAATGAATAGGGTAGGTGAGGCTAAGTGTCAATCTGCATGAACCCACAGTAGGGAAAAACTACTGAAATTAGATGCGATTGCCGATTTGTGCCAGGCAAAATTCAGCTGAAAGTCGGATTTTTGTTAATTGACACGGCCCAGGCGAATCGCATCACATACTTTTTGTGATTCTAACTTTTTTTTCTTATCCTATAAATTATTATATCACAATTCTGATTTTAGAATTTATTCTATTTTTTTATATTAATCTTAATCTGTATTTTTACCGATATAATTAAAGTTTAAATTCCTAATCAGTACAATTACTGTTAAAGTAATTTACCTTATCTACAATGAATTTCCAAATCAGTAATATCCAAATTAGAGAATAAAAATTGAAAAAGCTGTTTGTCGATCCTCCTACATAAATACTAAACTAAAATTAAAGTAACTGTATATAAATTTTAGACTATTAAATATATGTACAATATAAATCTAATCTAAAAATAAAGTAATCAATATATATCATAATATAAATTTTAATCTAAATTAGACTATTAAATATATGTACAATATAAATCTAATCTAAAAATAAAGTAAACAATATAAATTATTAGTTTAAAATTAAATATTTAATAAATATGATTCTGAATAGTTTTTTGAATCAAATTTTTCAAGAATATAAATATTATATTAAAATTAAACTATAATTTATATTACAACGTAATTCAATGTAGAACTTTCTAGCAAATTTTTTATCAATAAAAAATGAGCGAAAAACTTTCTCTCTCCTCATGATTCATTCGTTTAAAACCTTTTGTACATTTATAAAATTGTTATCCAAACTTATTTTTATTCACAAAAATTCTTTAATAATTATTAAGCAAAATGCGTTTCTTTTATTTAATTGTTGCTATTATTGTTCTTTTCAGTTTAATTTTAGTAAAAAATATAGAAAAATTCAACATCTTTATATATATTTTTGAAATTATTTATTCGAAAGAATTTTTTTTCTTCGAAATGACAATATATTTAATATTTATTATATTTAATATCTGTTTCTAGTGCTATTTGATAAAAACTTATCCGGAAAGATATATTTATTAATTTTGTAAGTTGGATGTTTTATCTTACTTTGTATTTGTGAATTCGAACTACGCTGTCATAGAGTCATAGGAATATATTCTGAATGCTTTATGATGAGGATATATTCTATTATTTCTTGAGAAACTGACTTGTAGATTAGAGTTATATCTCTGAGACGAACGGGCTGCAAACATTGATGAAGAAAATTTTCATACTAATATTTTTTTTTATTTAGATAAAAATAATTTATTTACCTTAAACTGAATAAGAAGGTGAATTATTTTACTTAATATTCATATTTGTGCACGCTGCTCTATATTGCATTAGGAATTTATTCTGGGAAGAAAATTATGAATTTTCTCGAGGATAATTTTCAATTTTGTTAGGAACACGAACGTGTAGACGCCGCAATCCACGGAGTGAAAAATATGTTTTATTAATTATTTTTATTATTACAGATGCTTTCGAAAAGTAAGAAAAAACTAATATTCTCATTCCATCCATAAAATGTTGAATCGGTTGTAAGTTGGCAAAGTTCAATCTTACTTGTATTTGTGAATTCGAATTACGCTGTCATAGAGTTATAGGAATATATTCTGAACGCTTCATGATGAGGATATATTCTATTATTTCTCGAGAAACTGATATCGGAGTTGAAGTTATATCTTTGAGATGTCGGTACTGCAAACATTGATGAAGAGAATTTTCATACTAATATTTTTTATTTTTATTTCATTTATTTAGATAAAAATAATTTATACAAGCAAGAAAAAACTATTAAAAAATAAAATTATCAGGTAAATTACATTGAGCGATAATGTTTAAAATTTCTTTCTATAAAAAACATTAACTCTTTTACATTAAACCATTCAGAACCTTCGTCTGTAATAATCTACCCTTCTTGAATATCATGTTCATTCTCAAAATCAAACATTTCACCAGCATCAAATCTAATAGCTTTTACTTTCGCTTCAGTTAAAATTTCTTTTTCACGGTTTGGATTTTGAAGCACGAGAGTGATAACATCTTTTAGAGTTGGTCTTTCTTTAAGTAAATCAGCAATTTCAGTATGGAAATCTGGTTTAAAAAATTTTAAATATTTAAATCCTGGAGTATTTGAAGAAGCCATTTTAAAAACAATTTGATCAAAAGTTTTGTCTTTGATAGATTTAAAAAAAAGTTTTTTAATTTTGTTAATTAAGGAAAACATTTTTTTTCTGTTGGTATTTAATTTTAATCGTAATTTAGGTTTAGCTTCTCAATATAGTAAAAATTTTTGAATTTAGAATTTAAGAATTTTTGTATTATATAATTATAATTTATTTAATAAAACTAAATAAAGAAATACAGATGACATTCTTGTACTATGTAAACCAAAATTTAATAAAGATCTAAACTTCTTGTTAAAGTAAATTTTATTCAAAATTAAATCTGTATTTTTGTAAAAAAGCAATATTTTTAATATTTTTTTATACAATTTTCACAAATAAAAATTTATATGTAGAAATAAAAAAAAAAACTTTGAATAAAATTTAATTGGTTTTTTTTAAAATCTCCTATTCAAAAAGAAATTCTACACATTTTTCTCATTATACAAATTTTAAGCCAACTTTTTGATGATTCAAAAATAGTCATTTTTTTGGTAAATTCACATGTTTTTTATAAAATTTTCATTGGTTTTTAATATCTATTCAATTTTATGTTGTTAGCTTTACAAAGCGATTAAGAGCTTAGCTAAAAATTTCTTATTAAAAATATAATAAATTTATTTTTTTTTGATTTTTGCTAGTAACGAAGATATATGTGTAGTTTTTATTTACACTATAATGAGTAGTCTAACTGTACAGTGTTACAAGTTAGGCTACTCATTACTTAAAAATTATATGCATATGATATTGTCATTAAACTGTATATCTCAAATTCTCTTTATTGCTCAACTTTAAATCTATATTCTATTTCAAAGTATAACAAATATATCAACTCTATATGTTCTTCTAATTTTATCTCATCTAATTAGTGTGTAAGTTCTTAAAAATCTTTTGAGTCCTTAACATACTGGGGCTATATTCTCAAATAAAGAATAAATTACTTTCTATATAGCTATATATTTGTTGTGTTCATGTTACAGAGTTGCCAAATATGAAAATAGTAAACAATGCTAATCTTTTGACAAAAGTAGCCAAATTCTCTACTTTTTGTCAAACATTAGTTTGGAAATATCAAAGCAGTGGGAGAAGTTTTAGCTCTGTGAGTTTTCAACTAAAGAGAGTTTTTCTAAGAGTTTGTTATATTTTCTATTTTCAAACTTCTTGAGTTTTTTTTTACTTGCTGTTCTAGAGACTCTTCTAGTTTGGATACTAAATACAAAAAGAAGTCTATTCAAAGAAGAAAGAGAATAAGGTTTGATCTCTTCACAAACTATCTAAAATATCTGCTTCTTGATATATTATATTTAATAACTTTATTGACAATAGTTTGTATTAAGAAAACTTCAAGTTGTTGTTAACTTCTGGCCTTGAGTCTTTAATTTGCTTTTGGTACTAGTTGGTTCAAGTGATTATCAAAAAGAGTTTATGTATTTTTTAGCATGACAGAACTTCTTTTTAATTGGCTATCATGTCAGATGATCTTCATCAAATATGATTGGCTGATTAAATATTGATAAATTAGTTAGTTCGATACTTTCAATATATTAAAATATAAAAAATCTTCGGTGTTCAATCTATATTATGTAAACTCATCAAAGGACTTATTTAATAGCTCTTATCATTTGGTTAAAAATTATAATATGTAACATGATGTTCTAGAATTATTGATCATTAATAACATTAAATATATTAATATCTCAACATTATAATCTTTAATATTGACACTGTATTTTACTCTTTTTTCAACATGAATACAATTTTTCAAATATTAATACAAATATTATCTATTCTATAGATTCTATTGTTACAGTAAATATAATCTGCACCTATTTTTTTTACATTATACAATACATATTTTCATACATCCGTATCCACCAATGCCTCTAATTGTATGTATCTTTTACAACTATTCAACAACCTAAATATTTATAAATAAGAGTTTTATAAGTATAGATAAATAAAAAAAAAGCAATATCGTATTAGCTGTTTAGCAGTCATATAACTGTATATTCACCCATAGTACATTTGTATATACA